CCCACTTCTCAATCATCCCTTTACCTGCAAATAGCCTCCCACAATCAACTTCTGAAAGCTCCCATCTAATACTACCAAATACCAGTTCTGAAGTAGGGTCACCAGACTCGAAACTTTAACTAATTTCTCTTACAGATGCTGCCAGACCTGCTGAGCTTTTCCAGCAACTTCTGTTTTTATTTCTAATACCACCAAAATTGGCATTACTCCAATTTAGAACTTCAACTTTCTGGTCAGTTCTGTCCTTTTCCATGACTATTTTAAATCTAACAGAATTTAGTCTCAAACATTTTGATATTTATCACCTGCCTCTGCCACTTCTTTTTCTGAGCCCACAGTCAAAGTTCCTCTCAAGTTAAATTAAAATAAAAGAGCTGCAGATGCTGGGGATCTGAAACAAAAACAGAAATTGCTGGAATAACTCAGCATGTCTGGCAGCATTTAAGGAAAGAAGGCAGAGTGGGTGACTGCTTTGTAGAACACATACAGCCTGTCTGTTTAAAAAAAAAATGGCCCTGAGCTTTCAGTTACCTGCTGCTTCAACACACTACAGGTGTTCCCATGCCAACCTGTCTGTCTTGGGCTCGCTGCAGTGATCCAGCAAGCCTCAGCACATGCTCAAAGAAAAGCATCTCATTTTTTGCTTTGGGACCCTGTAGCCTCTAGGACTCCACACAGTTCAATAACTTTGAGACTGATTCCATTCTTCCATATATTGTCATCCAGCCACACACCCAATCCTGTTGTGACATGGATTGCTTTTAGCACATCCAACCGGTTGCCATCCACTGTCAATCCTATTATCACATTACGTGGGCCGTTTTCAGCATGGCCTACCCATTCTCTTCTAATCCCAGCTCTCATTATCACTATTCAGTTTTCCTCTGCCCTGGCCTGCTATCAATAATCCCCTCATTTGTCAACCTCTTTCATCTCTATCTCTGGACTCTGTCTCCACCTATCTGCTCACTTCTTGCACACCTCCAACCCCTCCCAGCGTCCTCCCAACTTTAGCTTCATCAGAACCGACAGTAGCTAGGAAAAGTGGTATTTATGCTGACAAGTCACCAGACTCAAAATATTAACTCTGCTTTCTCCCCACAGGTGTTGTCAGACCTGCTGAGTTTTGCCATCATTTTCTGTTTTTGTTCTCTTAAAGGTTCCTGTCTGCACTAGTCCCAAACTTGCATCTTTCTCCAATTTATCTCTCAACTCCCCTCATGCCTTCTCAGTAGTCTACTTGCTAATGAGAACTTCTTCCTTCCTAACTTTCTTTTAAATAAATTTCAGGCCACCCAACCTCCCTTTCTGGCTCTCACAAGAACTGATATTTTTAATGGTTCTCTCCCCTCAGGTTCGGTCTTCCTCTCCTATCCATCAATATCAATCCCCTCCTTAAAAAGAAAACTTCTGACACATGCCCCTGAAAACTGGCATCTCATCTTCAAGCTCCTTCTCCTCTCTGAAACCTGTGAACAGGTCACTGCCTCCCAAATCAATGTCCACCTACTCCAGAACTCTACAACTGAATCCTCCACTATCAACTTTGAAGTTAAACTGGTCAATGTTAGAGAAATGTTGTAAACAAGTGCTGATCAGAGGCTAAGAATCCTACAGCAAATGACTGACTTTTTGAATCCTCAATACTTGTCCATCATTTACAAATCAGTAATCTGACAGCATGACTTTTCCACTTGCCTGGATGAGCGCAACTTCAATAACATTTACAGGGAGGCATTGGTGTGTAAAATCACTGGACTGGTAGGCTAATGGTCTGGGCCATGGATTTAAATCCTACCATGGAAGATGGTGAAATTTTAATTCATTAAAAATCTGCAAAAAGTTAGCCTAATGATGACCAGGTGTTCCTTTCAGGAGGAGCCTCTACTGGGGAAGATTATCAAAAATGTAGATGGCCTGATTAATAAATGTGCAGTTGATACCAAAATTGGCAAAGTTGCAAAAAGGGAGAAGGATTGAATAGATTGCAGTGTTGGGGACAGAAATAGCAGATGGAGTTTAATCCAGACAAATAAGAGGTGATGCATTTTGGAAGGTCAAATTCAGGTGTGAATTAGCAACGATTAAGGTGTAGCTTGATAGGCACATTAACAGGAGGCAAACAGAGGGTCAGAAACCGTTTATGGTGATAAGTAGTGGATCTAAATAAGGATCAGGAATCAGCGCAGGCTTGGTGGGCTGAAAGGCTTGTCTGAGCTGTATTGTCCTATACTGTACCATCAATTTTTTTTTGGTGAAGGAAAACTCAACTGGCTCACTAACATCCTTCAGGGAAGGAATTCTGTCAGTCATTCTTAAATTAAAACTGTGGATTCTGGAAATCAAACAAAATCAGAAAACTGCCACAGAAAAATCAGCAGATTTGGAAGCATCGGTAAAGAGAAAGCAAAGTTAACATTTCAAGTCTAGTGACCCTTCTTCTGAACTTCAAAAGGAGGGTTACAGTCCGACATTTCTACATGGTCTGGCCTCCAATTGACTCCAAACTCATAGTAATGTGGTTGACTCTTAACTGTTCTCTGGTAATTAGGAATTGACGATGAACACTGGCCTAGCCACTAACAGACACATCACAAGAACAAATTAAAAAACGCTCCAATAAGGTTTTTGCCATTACTGTAATCTGATTATCAAAGTTACAAATGAAACAGTATGTTTTGTTACATTATCTACCACAAATACAAGTTTTCCTTTGTCTGCCAGTCCTACAACTCTCCAAGAACTCTATTGCAGGTCCATTGTATGTGTTCAGACTTCCTTTGCCTAAAGCTTTCTGTACCCCAATCTCTCAACTTCACCTACCAAATGTTTCTGGCCCTTTACCTTTCTCTCATGACTCTCCTCAACACCTCGCTCTTTGACTAAGCTTTTGATTAACTATTTAAATGCCTATCTTCGTCTCAGTGTTGATAATGTTACTTTGTCTAAATTTACTCCTGTGAGGAGACTTCATTTGTACAATATAAATGCAAAAGGTTTTTGCTTGCACCTGACCTTTGGTATTTTGCATTGATTAAGGAGATTATTCTTTTGATAGAGTATAAAGCATCAAAATTTTCCATTTCTCAGATCGTCACCTCAAGAACATGATAACAGGCCAGCAAACAAAAGCGAGGATTGATTAATTTACATGGAATGGTAAAAACAGCTTCAAGTTTTGTTCAATTATTTTCATGCTATTTCGAAAAAAAAGAGCAAGTACTGATGACATCAACTAAATGTTAGCTTGGTAGGGTTAACCAATTTCCTATTACATCATCTGTTGAAGTCAGTTCCCTTTATACTTAATTGCACAAGCTTTGGATAGTTTCCAGGCAGATATAAATGCTAAAAATGCCTGATCAATCATTAACCATCTCTGGGACCATATTTCTGGGCCATTTTGAGAGAAAGTTATATAGACTATAGTCTACACTAAAAATGTTAAATACTGTGACAATACTATAGGAGGGTTTATTGTATATTCAATTTTTCCCTGTAATATTTAATACTAGCACTCATTATGACTTTTTTCACTTTGGATATATCAAGCTTGAAAACAGACATTACAGGTAGCCAATCGGTGGAAACAAAAAAAGGACAATAATGCAGATCAGAGTGATCCAAAAGACAGAATCATAGAATCCCTACAATGTGGAAGTAGGCCATTTGGTTCATGGAATCCACACCGACCCTCTGAAGAGCATCCCACCGAGACCTACTCCCCTCCCCTATCCCTGTAACCATGCATTTCCTATGGGTAAGCCAACGTGTCACCCTATGTTTTTACATTATGGTACACACAAGGTGTCGGGGCAGCAATATCCTTAAACAATATCCCTGCAGCCCACACTTGTTTTTGACATTTCATGCTTGCATAAAAGGTAGAGATTAGATTAGTTCGGTAATTTGATGTGGGGATTACAGCAGCACAGCTGTATAAACAAGGGGCAGGGTGGGGGAGGGGGCATGTGGGTGGAGAACGAATGAAGGACAAAATGAGAGAGAGAGAGAGAGAGAGAGAGAGAGAGAGAGAGAGAGAGAGAG